GGGCTGTTGTATCGCAGGAGCGTTTCCCAATGCAGTAGGCTAGCAGGACGCAGGGGTGAGCACCCTGGGTCTTGGCGTCGACGGGCCTGGGTGTGGGGCCCACCTGCATGCCAGCATGCCACGCGGCGATAATACTTTTCCAGCCCGCTCTGACGCGATTTGCTGGACGCTGCACCACAGCATGGCAGCCAGTGCGATGTCGAGACCATTGCGCCGCGCCCCCACAAGCTGCCCTCCAAGCACCTCCTTCCATCCTGTACCCTCTTCCTCACAACCAATCCCACCTCCCACAGGCCGCCATGGGCTCTGCAGTGCGCGCCTTCCACCGCGCCCTGCTGGCTTCCTACGCGCGCGAGGGCGTCACGCTGGCCTCCCTCCCTCGCCACGACCCCTACCTCTGGCTGAACGTGGGGCACCACCTGATGGGGGCTGGGTACGACGCCGAGCTGCGCGGCATCCTGCTGGACCCCGCCTGGCTGGAGGGCAAGCTGGAGGCGGCGGGGCACACCGCACTGGTGGCCGACTTCCGGCGCTACCAGCAGGCCCATGCCGACCCCGGGGTCAAGCTGGTGCTGGAGGCGCTGCAGATGTCGCTGGGCCTGGTGCAAGCCCACCCCGAGGCCGCCGGCCTGCTGCGCTGCCAGCTGGCGGGGCGGCTGATGGTGGCGGCGGGGCCGGGGGGCGTGCTGGAGGACTGGCGAGCGGCGCAGGAGGCAGCGTTGGCGCAGGTTCCCGCGAGTCCCGTGGAGGGCGGCGGCGTGCGCTGCCTGCGCACGCTGACCCCCTCCCTGGACCAGGCGGGGGGCCTGCAGCGACTGACGCTGCGGGGCCACACCAAGGCCGTGACGCAGCTCAAGCTCACCCCCACCCGCGACGACATTGTGTCAGGTGGGGGCCCGGACAGAGGGAAGGGGGTTGAATGTGGGGGGTTGTCCGTTTCTTGGAAACCAGGTTGAGGCGGTGTGTATTTGCATGCCTCGCATCGCCGCCGCGCCCCCCCCCCCCCCCCCCGGTCCCGCCTCTCAACAAAGGCCGCCACTCCTCCGATCGACAGGTTCGGCAGACGGGCTGGTCCATGTCTGGGACCAGGAGATCGGGGACTGCGTGCTGAGCATGCAGGGCCACATCGGGCCCATCACCTCCATGTGCCTCTCCGCCGACGGCAGCCTGCTGGTTTCGGGGTCGGCTGACGGCACAGCCCGAGCCTACGAGATGGAGCGCGGGCAGTGCCTCCGCGTCCTGGCAATCGGTGGGTTGTGGGAGGGTCCGTCGTGGGGGACGTGGGCGATGAAGGTTGGGGTGGGGGAGGAGAAGTGCATCTGGGGCTCGAGACTCAGGTTTGAATGTCGTCTGCCCACCCAGACCCGCTCACTCGGCATGTTGCTGGGGATCCACGCCGTCATCGAGCTGAATGAGGCCTGCAGCCAGCCTGCCAGTTCACCTCTCAGACCCTGTCACCAATCCCTGGCACCTCGAACCTCCCAACCCTCGCCCCCCACCATCATCCCTTCCCCCCCCTTTCCTTGCGCAGAGGCCGGCGCCCACATCAATGCGGTGGAGATGGATGTGAGCGGCAGGACGGTGTTCACCGCCGCCAGCGATGGCTGTGTGTACGCCTGGGACCTGTCGGCCGCCGCCGTCGTGCGCACCTACCGCGCCTGCCGCGAGGATCGGAGCGAGGGCGTGCTCTGCCTGGCCCTGGTCCCCTCCTTGAGCGGCGCGGGGCGCCTGGTCACGGGCGCCGCCGACAACAGCGCGCGCGTTTTTGACGCCGGCAGCGGGCAGACCCTGGCGGCGCACTCTCGGCACACCAGCTGGGTGGTGGCCGTGGCCGTCCTCCCTGACCAGGACCTGGCCGTCTCCGCCTCCAACGACACGACTGCCAGGTGAGTGCGTAATGTCTTATGATGACCTATCAGTGGGCAGCGTGAGACGCGCAAGGGCCGATGCTACTGGTATCTCCTTTTTCTTTTTCTGGGTGCCCCAGTCTCTGCTCTCCATTCACAATTCACAACCCCAGGATCTGGAGGCTGAGCAGCGGGGATACGGTACACGTGCTGGCGGGGCACACGGGGCGTATCAACGCGCTCCGCCTGGCGGAGGGCGGCGGCCGCGTGCTCACCGCGTCCGAGGATGGCACCGCTGCGGCGTGGGACGTGGCCTCCGGCGCGCGCCTGGCGGTGTACGGCGGGCATTCGGCCTGGGTGGGCGACGTGGCGCCCGGCGGACGAGCGGGCCTGGTTGCCACCGCCTCGGGCGACGGCACGGCGGTGGTGCACTCGGCGGCCGGCAGCGTGCTGCGCACGCTGCGCGGCCACTCCGGCGCGGTGCATGCCGCGGCGCTGACGCGGTGCGGGCGCTGCGTGGTCACCGCCAGCGAGGACGGCAGCGTGCGCGTGTGGGACCTGGCCGCGGCCGACGAGCCGCGCGCGCACGCGCATGCGACGCGCGTGACGGCGCTGGCGCTGCAGCCCGGCGGGCGCGCCGCCTCCGCCGGCGCCGACTGCCGCGTGCAGGTCTGGGACGCGCGGACGGGCGGCGCAGGGGCTGCGCTGCCGAGCTGGCATGCCGCACCGGTGCGTTGGGCGGCCTTCGTGCGCGCCGGCGCGGCGCTGGTCACCGCCTCGCCCGACCGCGGCGTGGGCGTCTGGGACGCGGCCACCGGCGCGCGCCTGGGCGGGCTGGAGCCGGGCCAGGGCAGCCGCCTCAAGTCCTTTGCTGTGGATGCCGAGGCGCGGCGCGCGGTGACCTGCCTATGGGACAGCACCGTCGTGGTGTGGGACCTGGAGCGCGCCCAACCCCTGCACACCCTGCAGCGCTGGGGAGGCCCCAGCCAGGACCTGCAGGGACACACCGCAGGTAATGGTGGGGGAGTGCGTGGGGTGGGTGTGAAGAGGAGCTGTGTCTGTGGGTGCGTGCGGGGAGGAGGGGGAACCCAACGGGCCATGGCAACGCGAGAGGGTGTGGATGTGGGGCCTTGACAGGGAAGCACATGCCGGAGATCGGCACGCACGGATCCTATACATTCGTAAACCACTACCGTGGTTGGAAAGGAAGAAAATGCCCACACTGCCACATGCACCCCTGCCAGCCTCATCCTCGTCCCCACTCTTGATCTCATCCCCAATGAGCATTAAACCCCCCCCCCTCTCCCAACGCACACAGCCGTGAACGAGGTGCTGATAACCCCCGACGGCGCACGCGCGCTAAGTCTGAGCAAGGACGGCACCGCGCGCGTGTGGGACACCTCTTCCGGCGCCTGCCTGCGCGTGCTGACGGGGCATGCCGACAGCCTGAAGGGCGGCGTGCTGGCCTGCCCGCCCTCGGGGCCTGCCCCCGGCGCCGGGCAGGCCACGCTCCTGCTCACGCACGGCCTGGACTGCTCGCTGCGCCTGTGGGACGTGGACTCCGGCGCGCTGCTGCGCCTCTGGCAGCCGGAGCGCGAGGTGGTGGCCCTCGCCCAGCCCCGCCGCGGCGTGCTGGCCGCAGCGCTGGAGGGCGGCGGCGTGTGGACGGCGGCGGCGGCCCCTGCCGGGCCCAGCGCCTGGGAGCGGCGCTGGGACGCGTGTGGCGAGGTGGGCGACCTGGCGCTGTCGGGCGACGGCACCAAGCTGGCCGCGGCGGGGCCAAACGGCGTGCTGCGCCTCTGGGACGTGCGGAGCGCGACCCTGGCGGGCATCTTCGTCGGCGACGCGGGGCTCACCTGCTGCCAGTTTGATAGCGAGACGGGGGTTGTGCTCGTGGGCTCCGACCACGGCGCCGTGCACTTCCTGGCTGGCGCCTGAGGCTCGGCACACAAACATCACTCCACCCCACAAGGACCTCCCTCTTGTGCGAGAGCCTTTCAAGGAACAAGGACCTTGTGATATTCTCTACTCAAGCCAGCGACGACGTATTTTTCTTGTCATCTCCTCTTCACCTTTGCTGCTGTAGTGATGCCTGCCCTGGTTTGATATCGATCAGGGTGTGATTCCCCCCCCATCAACAGCCCGGGGTTCTACCTTGTCTGCGTGCCTTCCAACCCACACCACACTACCCACCTTTCCAACGCTCCTTTATTGTAGCCCTTCCCCTTGTGTCTGTCCTCCTGGGTCATCCGGTTTGAGACCCATGGTCCCACATTGTCGAGGCGCACCCCCCGCCGATTATTGCACCAGCAGCCATTCCGGCGGCTTTCCGTGCCGGCGGGTCATTGGCGATGGCACCCTGATTGGCATAAGGCCGATGTAAGCATGCTGTGGTTGACAGAGCCAGAGGAAGCGAGGGCGCAAGGAGGGTGGGGCAGGATCACCATGACAGGGGTACATGCGTGCCTGTGCAAAGAGGGCAGAATGCTTGGCAGGGCACATGGCACCTCAGTCTGTGCCGGCAGTGCCTCCCGGGAGAATTTTCTCGATCTTTGAGAACTCCCACCTATGCATGGTGCGAGTAAGGGGATGAGCGTATTGAATTGGTTGAAACACATTATGGTGAGGGGAAAGGATCCCAAATCCCAGGACAGCATGCAGAGCAGAGCTGGAGAGGCGAGGCAGGGGAGAGGTGCACCAGAAGGACTATTTGAGGGTATAGAGACCGTGCAAATGGCACAACACTCCCACACCCCGATCAGCAACTCGCGTTCTGAAAAAGATAACGAAGTCCTCAGTACCATCTTGGCCTGCACGCCACCACCCTCCCACGCACTCTTTATTGCAGAGCGGGCATGCACTCCTTGTTTTGAGCCATCGCTGGATGCAGTCGAGGTGGAAGACATGCCCGCAAGATCCCCACGCAATGCTCAGGCCAGGGTGGTCAGGGTCACCTGCACAGAATGGCACGGTAAGGGCAGGGAGGCATAACAGCGGCATCATTTGAGGGAGGTGGACCTTGGGTGGCCACACCTCACAAACCTCCCAACACACCTGAGGGATTGGCCTGATACTCAATGCTAGGCTCGTAAAGGTTATTCCGGCAAATGGCACATGTGTCCGTGCAGATGGCCCAGGACCACCTGCAGTGGAGACATTGGCAGGGGGCTCAGCAGCCATGCTTGCAGAGCACGGCATGGGTCTCCAGTTTTGATCCTCCCATGTGGGCCACTGCGCGCACAGCGTCACACCCTATCCTCGCCATACATTGCGACTGCGTTCCATTTCTTGATGACGAAGCGTTTCTCGCCGGACTTTGGCTTGACCTGCTTCTCCTTCTCCTCTGCCTCTTCCACCGTCGTGGGATCAACCTGCAGGGAAAGGTCAGCAGCAACTTCGCCCAGCGTTCTGAAGATTGGTACCTGTACCACTGCACATTCCTATTTGAATCACGCGCCGGCGAGACCCCACCTCCATCTCCTCTACGTCTGCCATCCTCCCCACAGGACTTGTGGAGGTCTTCCTTCAGAGGCCTTCAGCGATGCTTTGTGGACGCCGAGACTCAAATTTAATAAGACGAGAACCGATGTGATTCGAATGAGCACGATCACGGATGTCACCTCGGACTCGCTTAAGGTAGGGGAGCCCCATGTCGATCGGTCGGACCCTGTGGAAAGGTCTTCAGGCGAGAGATTTTCAATCTCACACAGCTTCCCTGTGGTGAAGAGGACGTCGACATCCCCATACCGTCAAACAACCAAGCACTTGTGAGGTACTCCAAGCTCTCAATCTTCTCCTCAACTTCATTCCTGCATCTCCCACACCTGGCCTTGCCTCAGCCCGTCTTTGCTCGTACCGGAGTCAGCCCTTCCGCACATGGCCACGACCAGCTACTCCAGCCAGGCTCTGGCCGGTGCCAGCAACGCTACACTTTCAAGAACCATCACTCCCGTTCTACCTCCCCGCCACAAGCCCGCCCCCCGCTTCCGAAGTTCGGTGGTCCCGGCCCAGGAGGTCTCTGCCGTGTATGCAGCCCCTGCAGCTCCCACCCCCGGCTTGCGGCCGTTGCCCCGCGAGGACGAGAATTCGGTCGATAATGTGAACCTGGGCAACCCTCTGCAACGCGCCGAGCGACTGAGCCCCGGCTGGCTGGGAGTGTTAGCGGACCTCGAGGGGGTGGTCCTGGACTACGATACCGCGGAGGTCTCAGACCGATCCTGGCAGCAGCTGGCCGAGGAGGAGGGACGCAAGCCTCTTCCCGCATGGGCGTTGCGCAAGGCGGAGCACATGAAGAATGAGCAGGTGTGGGGAACGTGTGGCTCGGGTGGAGTGGATGCTTCCAACCCTGGCTGGATCGGTGGTCCTGGGGTCCCATGTGGTCCAGCCTGGAGGCCCTGCAGACCAGCATAGACCTACCGAGCACACGCTTGACGCCCCTGGGTGTGAGTGCCGGGCTCTGCATGAGGCCGCTTCTGGTCCCCTGACGCCCCACACCACCCAACCGCGCTGTATTTTCCCCTGACCCCTCCTTCCCCACTCACCACCAACAGGTCATCCAGGAGGTTTTTGAGTGGGCGTGGAACAGGCTGGAGGTCGCTCGGCTCGCCGCAAGGCGGGAGGAGCTGTATGCGGAGGCCCTGGCGTCGACGTCCCTGAGGGTCAGCCCGGGTCTCCCGGTCTTCCTGGACACCCTGGCGCGGCTCCAGGTGCGGTCCTCTTGTGGCTGGCTCGGGTGGGCTCGGCCTACCGCAGGGTTCCCTGGGATCCGTGCTGCTGCTGCTGTGCCTCACTTCAGTCCATGCGCATCGTATAGTATATGCCTTCCGTGCCCACAAGATCCCTCAAATTCCCACAACAGGTGCCCATCGCGGCTATTTCCTCGGGCCCGCAACGACGCGTGCTGAGCATGCTTGAGAATGCTGGGCTGGCCACGCGCTTCGACGCCGTCATCAGCTCCGAGGATGTGCTGCGGGGCCTCCCAGACCCCTCGGGCTACCTCTCTGCGAGCCTGGTGGGTAGGGGTGCCAGGAAGGGGTGGCATGCTCGTGGGTGAAGCCGGTGCGCCCTTGTGTCGATAATCCCACAAGAAGAACGCCGTGCGGGTCTGGTGGCTGAGGCTGCCCTGCACCATCCTTTCCCTCTTGTTCACACGCCGTCTTCACTCATGGACTCACCTGCCCTCTTCTCCTACCTCTCTCAGCACCTCAAACCTCATCATCCCCCGAAATCCAAACCCTCGCAGTCCATCGGCCGGCCGCCGCTGCGCTGCGTCGTGCTGGCCTCCAGCAACCTGAGCATCGAGGCGGCGCGGGAAGCCGGGATGAAGGTGGTAGCCCTGGCCGCGCGCCGGCCCGCGTACGAGCTGACCGCCGCCGACTCGGTGGTGCGCCAGGTGGATGGCCTGAGCTTCATGGACCTAAAGCGCCTGTTTGCGCGGGAAGCCGGCGCGCAGCTAGTCCCCCTGGCCGAGCCCGAGGCCCAGCCGGCGTCGCGCTGGGCCCAGCCCACCCCCTTCTCCGACGCCGACCCCGAGTGACCTGTACCAGCGCCAATTTTCCCCCGCCGTCCCCGATTTTCCCACGCCGCCGTCTGTACCCATAAAGATCCTCGTCGTCGATGCGAGGCCCGCGCATGCCCTGTACACTAGCCCGATGCACTGCTGCGTAGTATAACATGTAAGATCGTCAAGTTGACAAGACATCATGCAGTGTGGCAAGGTGTGTCCCCAAGGTTGTGGGGATGAGAGTTCCGGGTCCAGGGGTCCATGCGCACAGGCAGGAAAGCGCTGCGGGGTTGAGGGTGAACAGGGTGCATGGGAGTTTGTTTCTTCGGGGGGAGGGGGGAAGGAGGGAGGCGCCACTGTCATCTGCGCCGCCGGTCACAGGACGCAGGGCCCCGGCGGTGCGGGGAGGAGTCCGCGGCGGCGCCGCCGACCGGCCTGGCCGACCGGCCTGGCCACACTTTCTTTCCTCCTCATCCCGGCGGCGCTCACTGCACGACGTGCATGAGGGGCGGGTGCGTAATGACGGCCGCGGCCTCGAACATGGCGTCGGTGCCGATGCGCGCGGCGTCGACCAGGAGGCTGGCCTCCTGCGCGTGTCCACGCATGCGTCGGTGCTGGGTGAGGTAGTAGGAGAAGGTGGAGGAGCCGAAGCCGACGAAACGCACGGCGCGGGCCAGGATCAGGAAGTCCAGCAGCGCCTGCTGCTCTGTGTTGAGCTCCGCCAGTTCGAAGGCGGGGACAAACTGGTTCTTGATGACCACGCGCGAGGCCAGGCCCTTGCTGAGCAGGACGCGCTGCGCGTAGGCCCACTCCTTGGAGGCGCCGTAGGTGAGCAGGCCCGTGGCGACGTACAGCGGCGTGCGCGCATCCAGGCCCGCGCGGCGCATGGTCTGGGTGTACAGGTGCCACATGCGCCCCACCCCGCCCATGATGATGGTCCAGTCGCCCGCGTCTTTCTCCACGCGCAGGTGCACGCCGTTGAAGGCGGGCACGCCGGCGGCCGCCATGGCCGCAACCGTGCGCGCCGCCAGCGCCTCCAGCGCGGCATTGAAGGGGAGCAGCGCCGCCACGCGCGTGGCAAGGGCCGGGATGCGCGCGGTGCGCAGCGCGAAGAAGGTGCAGGGCAAGTCCAGCACCAGGTAGTCGGTGGAGGCAGCCAGGCCGGGATCCAGGTCGCGCAGGTGCCGCGCCAGCGTGGCGCGGCTGCGCGCCACCAGCGCCGCCAGCGGGCTGCGGGCCAGGTACACGTCGGGCAGGCGCAGGATGAGGCGGGGGTCCACGTCACGCTGAATGAAGGCGGGGAAGGCCGTGGAGGGCTGCGTCAGGTTGGGGGCGGGCTGCAAGCCGGGCGTCTGTGTGGGGTGGTGGAGAAAGGAGGTTTGGGGAGGGGGGAGGCAAATCAGAGCTGGGGGAGGGGAGTGGGAGCAGGAGGGAGTGCCGGGGCATGGGGAGGGTGAGGCAGGGGAGGTTCGGGGCATGGGCAATCAGTGAGGGCAAGGAGCACAGAGGCAGGGACGGGCAATCATTCCTGACACATGTGCCGGGTTGTGGGTGTGAGACTCCAAAGTTCCTGGGGATGGTACACTGCCTGGCAGGCTGCACAGCACAATTAGGAGCGGGCAGGCACCAAGAGGCTGCCGACTCAGTGCAAGGTTTGTTGAGTGAAGGAGGTGAGCTGCAGAGGCCGAGGTGGGGGCACAGCCCAGCTCAAGGCTACCCACCCCTCCCTCTCTCCCCCCATCCCCTCCCTCCATTCTCCTCCCGCCCCTCACCTCGTAAACTTTGATGCCCAATGCCTTCCAGTTCTCGATAACCCTAGGGACATCCAGCAGGGTATTCACAGGCGTGGTGAACCACTCCATCTTGTTGCGCTTGATGTCCATGTCGTAGTGCAGGCCAAAGGAGTTGCGGAAGCAGGCCGGCGGTAGCACCACCTGGCGGGACGAGGCAGGGCCGAGGATGGGGCTCAGGGCATCTGCGCGGGTGCTGCCCCGGGCAGGCGCGTGCGTGTGGCACAGCTCAAAGTGCGCGCCCGCTTGGGTCCCCGACGCAGGCACGACCTCAGTGCAGGGGAGGCCCTCACCTCTGCCCTCAGGGCTGTGGCCAGGATGAAGGCGGACAAGTGGCTGTACTGCTGGTTGATGAGCCCGCCGCAGGCGCTGTACCTCAGCACCACCCTCCTGCCCAGGCTGCGCGCCCCTCGAAGCCACTCCCTGAGCTCCTCATCGTCACCAGCCGCCCCAGTGTTGTTCAAAAGGTTCTTGGAGACGAGCGTACTCAACAGGCTGCGCTGCACGGTCCCAGAGCGGCTTGTCAGGATGGGGTACCCTATCAAGCCGTGTATGAGCAGGAGCACACCTGCTGCAATCAAGAGCGAGAGCACCGCCGGTCGGTATCTTTCTCGCATACTGTTGATATACGGCCGTGTCGGCCCACTGGTGAGGGCGTCACCACATTGCGTGTTGGTGGTGTGTGCTGCCTGCCAGATCTCGGGAAGCTGCACCTCAGGACAGCCGCGAGACCCGTCGATTGATCATGCACAGTCCAAGATCTGTTTGCACGGTCGAACGTAAAGTTTCTTTCCGCTGGAGGAAGCAACGCGTTGCGGCGGTGAGTTTCATCTACCGGAGGTCCGAGCTAGGTAGTGGATGGCGAGTGCCACGTCAACCGAGGGAATCCCCTTGTTTGATACTCGAACGCCCACATACCTCGACCCATTCTCCCCACGGCGCCCCCTTGATGCACAGTATCTTTGATAAAAACTCGTAGCTGATCTGGGAGCATCCTGACGTGAGGTACTGTGGGTGATGGCACCCACTGCCGCGCTCCTGGCCACCTTGCTGGCTCTCAGTGCGGTCGTTCTGGGAGCGGATGGCCTCTCCTGGCGGCTATTTGCCGGGAGGTGAGGTTGAATTCAACATGAAAGTGTTTTCTCAATGTCTTTGGGATACTTGGAGTACTCACACCTCTTGTGCCACACTCTTGGCAGGGAGGAGTGCATCTCAGAGTACATACCGGAGCACCAGGTGCGTCGGGTACTACGTTGGGCTCATGGCCTGGCATTAAATTTTGTCAGAGGGGCTCCGCACATCGATCGGGCTCCCCTTTTCGGAGCACTGCCTGGAGCACCCTTGCATCACTCAAACCCCTGCTGCAGTGGGATGCGGTGAAGAGCCATGCAACAGATGTGTCACTCGCGCAAGGCATCGTCGACATTGGAGTGCTGGTGAGCTGGGACCTGGGTATCTGGGGTTTGCCAACCTCTGCATTCTTGTGTGATTGTGGGCAAGCTGTCCCTCCGCCGCCCTCCCACTCTGCAAAGCCCTGGAAGCTCATGGTGCCTCCCCCTCCTCCACCCCCCACCCCCCCAGATCAGCAGCCGTTACGGTACTGAGGCCACCAAAGCCACGGTGGACTTCACGCTGTACGATCCCGCGGGGCGCATCATCCACAGCGAGGTCGCGGTGTCCTCCGCCGAGGCCACGGTCACGGGGCACGGCGGGCAGGGGCCCTGGCGCGCCTGCTTCAAGGTCAGCAGGCAGCAGATCCTGCGCCCCTCTGTCATCGTGCGCCTCTCCTACTTCACCGTAAACTCGCCCACGCTGGTGGGCACGCACTTTGAGTGGCAGCGCACGCCGCCCGAGGCGGGGGGCATCCAGCTGAGCCCGGGCGGCGTGACGGCGGGGGAGCTGGGTGAGTTATTATTCGTGTGTGTGTGTGTTTCTGGGGGGTGTTTGACGGTGCATAGGAGCAGGGAGAGGCACGAGGGGCTGGGCTCTCGAGGCGCGAGGCGGCAGGGACGGGGCGGACGACTGTGAGCCGCCAGGTGCCACCCCCTTCCCAGAGCATGATCCCACCGGGCAGCGCCCTGCCCCACATCCCTGGCTTCACTGAGACCCCTCCCATCCCCACGAATCCCACCCCCACTCCCCAGGCACCAACGACCAGGTCCAGAGCCTGGCCGACGGGCTGCAGCGCCTGGACTACTACCTGCATAACGTGACCAACGAGCAGCGCTACCTGAGCAGCCGCACGGAGCGCCACCTGCAGACCGTGCGCTCCACGCACTCTCGCGCCCTATGGTACTATGTCGCGCTGTACGGCGTCATAGTCGCGGCCTCCTTTGCGCAGGTGAGCACCACTGCCGGTGTTGTGCCCGGGTGTGGAGGGGTGTGGGGATGCTGCATAACGAATGCGGCTACGGGGAGGCTTCGGCCCTCCTGCACGAATCCGCGACACAGGACCGGGGAGGGGCCGATACCTGAGGTTTGCCTCTAGGAACCCCAGCGGAGCACTGTCATGGGTTTCCCACGCCATGCACACAGGTGGTGGGAGTGCGTGTGATGTTCAGCAACCGAAGAAAGCAGGGCATCATCATCTGAGAGGACCCAGCGCAAGGGTCCCTGGGCACCCAGGCGGAGGTCCACCCCCTGGGATCAGCAATGGGACCAGAGCGGCCGGGCCAGAATGGAGTCGACCCACGCAATGAAACAGTGTGCAGCGAGCCTGACCGCCAGGCTGCATTGTTCAGCTGATTGGCGCGTGCCGCACGTCCACCTCTGGCCCCAGTGCAAGTGCCCTGCAGAAGGGCTCCCGCCAGAACCGAACCCATGGGTGAGCAGTGCAGATCGCTGCTCCCAAGCTATAACTCCTTGGCCGTGACCTACCCGGTGTTGAGATCAGAGGCGTGAGCAGGGACGGTGCACCTGACCGACAGAGGCCATGCTCGGCAGGACATGGAGCGGGGTGGTGCTGGGGAGTGGCGACTAGAGAAACCCAGCATCCAACCCCTCCACTCACCTTGAGGCTGTTGTTCCGGAGGGTGCGCAGGCACTGCCGTGCGATGAAGATGTAGTGGGGGGGCCAGAGGGGGTGGAGCACCCCAAAGGTGTCCATGAGGGTTAGGTACATGAGGGGTGGCAGCAGCGTGACGATGAGGCCCAGCGCCAGCAAGGGATACAGGGAGACCAGGTTGGGGGAGGTGCGCAGGTGGTCCTGCGATACATGGACTGGGATAGGAGGTCGACAAGAGGCTCACTATGTTCAGCAGATGCCTCTACGGTACCCTCCATGGGGTCTTCCCAGGTCACCTTGATCTCGTGCAGGCCCCACCAGAAGGCGGAGACCAGCAAGCCGCTGCGAAGGGGGCAGGCAGGCGAGTGACGGCAGGACTCCACATGCACTTCGTGCTGTCGCATTGATTCATGCAGCATACCTGAGGATGACCACCTCCAGCCCCGCGAGAGCCCTCTGCGAGGGGGACGCACTGCGTGCCTCCTGGCTCACGAGCAGGGGTTGGAGCTTTGGGGCCATGGGCACCGATGTCGCGTGATGCAGCACTAAATCATGCCATATGCTGCATTAGGAGTGTTTATGGTTTGTTTCGTGCCGTTTGGCTGATACAATAGCTCGCGCATTCCGCCTTGAAAGTGAAGGCATAGGTGTCGCATCTGGCACCCCAAGGGAGGGGTCTGAATCATGTAGGACCCTTCAAGACATGAATGGCATTGCCAGGTGCCTAGCCCAAGCCTGTGTCGGCCCACAGAGTCTGGCACCGGTGAGGCATTACGACGAGGGCGGGGCAACATGTCAGCCATCTGAATCTGAGTCGTCAAGAACGACGTGCCTGCCTCGCTTTCCGCCGCTTCCCGGTGCTGCAGCTGCATCAGTGCCTTGCTCCACACCCTCTGCAAGGATGGCATGACGAACTGGTCAGGACCCTGCACTGGTGCGGGGCACTTTGGGGGTACACAGCCCCATCCATGGCACCCCAGGACTGCCGACGCAGACCTCGGCACCTTCCACCAAGCCCCCCGGCACCAGACAAGAGTCACACACCTACGCCGCCGTCGCTCTCCTCCCCTGCCCCTCCTTCGGCCGCCTCTTCGAGCTCCTCCTGGTCCTCGTCGTCGTCACTGGCCCCCGGCGCAAAGCTGCCGCCGTCTGAGTCTGAGCCAAAGAGGTCGGCCATGGCCTCGGCGGCCGTCCTGCCCTCGGCTGTCCCTGGCACATCTGCGTCCGTGGTGATCAGCCCCGAGTCCCTGGCGTCAGCTCCGTCCTCGTCCCTCGCTTCCACACCGTCGTGCGCGGCGCCCATGGCGTCGCCCTCTGCGCCCATGTCCCCTGCACGCTCATCCGCCGCTCCGTTCCCTCCCCTCCTGCCCTTGCGCAGCAGCTTGGCCTTCTTCTTCCTCGTCCCGGCCTGGTCGCTCGCCTTCGCCGACGACGATTTCCGCTTACGCGGCCGCTGCCCCTCCGCCGCCTCCTCCTCTTCGCTCCCGGGCCCGGCGGCGTACTCCTCCTCGTCCGAGGAGAGTAGGCCCGCAGCAGCCAGGGCGGCGGTGCCGGGCGCCTCCTCGCCATCCTCCCCGCCTGCAGTGGAGGGGGGTGTGCTTGTGTGGTTGCGTAAGGCTGGGTCCCGTTGATGTAGAAACCACGGAGAACGGCGCGTCACGAGCAAAGGGCTCCCACGTGGCGGTCATCAGTCTATGCCGTGGCACGCCACGCAGTGCGATTCCCCTCTCCGCACAGCCCCATTCTCTGCCCCCATGTGGCGAACATCGTCCCCCTGTGGTGCATCTCCGGCTGAAATCGTCTCACCCACGCGCCACCCTCCCCTCCACATCGCCCCCCCACCCCCCACCCCCAAACCTTTCCCCCCGGTTTCGAAACCCAGCCGGCGCACCCGACCCGACTTCGGGGCGCGAGGGGTCGAAATCCTCATCGCCCTCCTCGTCCTCCACATAGAACAGCGCGTCTGCGGCGGCGTCGGCCGCCGACGGCCCTCGCCCCGTGCCGCCCGCGCTGGCGGCCGGCACGCCCGTGACGTCGCCCGCGGCCACGGCCTTGGCCACGACCGCGGCGTCCTTCCACTCGCGCTTGAGGCGGTCTAGGCGCACGGCGTGCTCCCGGGCGCGCGCCTCCAGCGCGCGCGCCTCCGCCTCCGCGCGCAGCCTCGCCTCCTCATCCTCCAGCGCCTTGGCGCCGCGCGCGGCCTCCAGCGCGGCGCGCCGCTCCTCTCGCCGCGCGTCGGCCAGCTCGGCCTCGCGCCGCGCGGACTCCACCGCCTGCCGCGTGCGCGCGTGCGTGCGCGCCACAAACTCCACGTGCGCGGCCAGCGCCGCATCCTTGAGCCCCGTCGCGCGCGCGCCGCGGCGGCGCAGCGCCTCGAAAACGCGGTGCGCGGTCTCCAGCGCCCGGCGCGCGGCCTCGAACTCGGCCAGGCGGCCCGGGTCGCCCGGCGCGCGGCGCGCGTTCACGCTGCGCACGGCGTGCTCCTGCAGCGCCAGGCCCAGGTCGAACCACGCGGGGGTGAGGGTGGGGTCGGCGTGCGCCGCGCGCACCAGCGCCGCCCGCGCCTCGGGCAGGCGGTTGGCATCGTGCTGCGCGCGCGCGAGGCAGAGCAGCAGCCGCGGGTCGGCGTCGCGGCGGCCGCCGCGCCGGCGCAGCGCGGCGCCATAACCCGCCACCGCCGCGTCGTACGCCTCCTCTGCCAGAGCGACATGCGCGAGGTTGACCCCGGCGTCGGGCGCGGCCACGAAGCCGCCCGAGGCCGCCGCCGCCTCGTTGACCGCGGTGAAGGCCACGCGCGCCTCGCGCAGGTGCCCCGCCTCGGCCAGCACGCAGCCCAGCCCCTGGGCGGCCCAGAGGTTGGCAGGGTCGCGCTCGAGAGCGCGCGCATACTCGCGGGCGGCATACGAAAAGTGCACCTCCGCGCGCTCGACGTCGCGTGGCGTCTTGCGCTCGCGCGGCGCGGTGTAGAGGTTCAGATTGCCCAGCGCGACGCGGCCGAACGCCTCGGCACGCGCGGCCACGGCGCCGCCGCCGCTCGGGCGCCCGCCGCCGCCCTCGCCCTCCCCCCCCGCCAGCAGCGCGTCCAGGGCCTCCTTGGCCTCGGCGTAGGCGCGGCGCTCCAGGTACAGGCTGGCCAAAAACGCCTGCGCGTCGCGCCCGCCCGCCTCGCCCTCGCAGGCGGCGCTCGCGCGCCGTGCCCAGGCCTCCGCGGCCGCCGCGTCGCCGCGCGCCGCCGCCATCGCGGCCAGGCGCAGATACGGGTCGGCGTACCGCGGGAACTGGGCCAGCAGCGCCTCGTACTCGCGCGCCGCGGCGCTCAGCTCGCCCCCCGCCTCGCGCACTCGCGCGGCGTTGAAGCCCAGCGTCACCCGCGCCTCCGCGCCCAGCCCGTCCAGCCGCCCCTCGGCCGCCGCCGCCAGCGCGGCCTCCATGCTGGCCGCAGCGCGCGGCGCCTGCCCCGCCCGCAGCTGCAGCACCGCCGTGTTGTTCAGCAGGCGCGCAGAGGGAGCAGGGTGGGGCGACGGGGATGAGGGCGTGGCCGATGGGGCCCTGTCAGCCCCCGCCTGCACCGCGTCCCCGGCGTTGGCAGGCCCCCACAGTGCGACCGCGTGCTGGTACGCCGCCAGGGCACCCCCGGGGTCGAGCGGTGCCAGCACATCGCCCAGCATCTCCCACAGGTCGGCGCGCTCGCCCAATCGCTTCAGCGCGGCCTTGAAGTGGGGGATGCCCGCCGCATCGGGTCCGAGCCGCAGCCGCGGGTACAGCTTCCCCAGCACCTTTGGGAATGGGGCGATTTGGAGGTGGAGATGGCAGGAACGGAATCCAGTGGGCGCAAAAGGACTCCGTACATATATCACTTTCCAGATGGAAGTTCTCCTTCATAAGAAAAGGGCGGTCTTGTCGCCTTCACAACACTCTCCCCCGCCTTCTTGATGAATAATGCGAAAGCCTGCACCCTATTGAGCAGCATAGATCCATATGACATGCCATACCCAACCTCTCCACGCACCTGCAATGCGTCGGTCCAGGCCGGCACGACAGTCAGAGCCCCCTCCAGCACCGAGGCGGCATTTGTCAGCTCCCCGCGTAGCAGCGACAGCTGGCCCAGGCCCAGCGCGGGTAGCGGTGCGCGCGGGTCCAACGTCGCGGCCTGGGAGTAGAGGCGGAAGGCCTCGCCGTTGCGGCCCTGCGCATGCAGCGCGCGCGCCAGCACCGTCGTGCACTCCAGCCGCAGCGGCTCCGAGTCAGAAGCATCCAGCGCGGCTTTGGCCAGCTTGGCGGCCTGGCGAGGGGAAGAGGAGGGAGGAAAGGATGGGGGAGGGTGTGCAGACAGCGACAGATTCGACATCGATACTCCATGCCTGTCAGGTCAGGAGCCAATAGCTGCATGCTGAAAAGATATGACCGAGTCCCGCAAATCTGCACCAGCCCTCACCCCATCCACAAAGCCCTGCTGCAGGCTGAAGTAGGCCAAGAGGACAAGGGTGTAGGGGTTCTCGGGGTCCTGCTCAAAGGCCCTGACCAGGAGCCGGGAGCCGTCCCGCATGTCCTGTGGTGAGTAATGTGCACAGTGTTGGAGGATCCAGATGATGCTCGCCAGTGCCTCTCAGACGCACTGCGCCCCGCCATCACCCGCGACAGCAGCGGCAGCTCTTTCCATTCGGCCTGCCCTTGCCACATCCAGATCCCTGCTGCATTGCCGCCGCCCCCGCCCCCCCCCCCTCGTTCCCCAAATCACACACCTCGCTCGTCTGACTGGCACTGAGCTTGAGCACGGCCAGGCCCAGGAGGGCCTGGGTGCAGGAGGGGTCCAGGTCCAGTGCTCGCTGGTATGCCGCGCCCGCCTGTACCACATCCCCCAGGCGGAAGAGGCAGGCCGCCAGGCCCAGCCGCACCTCGGCAGGGCAGCCAGGGTGCCTCCGCAGCGCCTCCTTGTACCTGTGCAGGGTTGATGCATGGGGAGGGTGGCAGCTTGACTGGGATGTTGGGCGATGCTGAGGAAAGGTAGGCCTGAAGGGCCATAGGCCGACGCCAGTGTGAACAGAGCAGCAGCAGCCACACGGCTCAATCGAGTGGGACACTGATTAAGCTGCAGACCTCCCCTTGACCAAACCACACACACACACCTATCCAGTGCCTCCTTGTAGTTCCCTTCCCCAAACTCCAGAGCCGCCAGTGCCAGAGTGGGGGCAATGGTCGGTCGCCCTCCCAGCAGGTGCTTGCTGGCCTGGACAAATTGCTGGCGAGCTGCGACACGATTGTTGTCCTGCAATAGTGATGCACATTGTGGTCCAGGGAGGGCTCAGTGTGAGGAAAAGGGGTCCTGGATCAGTGCAATACCTGGTGCTGCCGTGGGATCCAGTTCAGATCAGTGCTGCGCCCCAATCAGCTTCTCATGGCTCTCCCTGACAATGGGCAGCCGATCCCGCACGCCGTCCACAGATTGGAGCCTGCAGGCCACAAAGGATTGCCTGACACAAACAAAAACTGCTGAACCCGCACGGCAGTCCCCCCCCTTCACCTTGTCCAGGGCTAGCTGTCCCATGCACAGCAGGGGCAGTGCGTCGTCCAGGGCCCTGTTACGTGCATTCAACAGGAGAGTGCTGGCCTCGTCGAATGCTGCACGTGCAATGCTGCGGTTGTTACGACCCCGGTGGGAGTGCCAGGCGGCCAGGGCACAGTGGGCTTGTAGCACGGGGAAGGTGACGGGCTCCGGGGCAGAGCCCGTGGCCTGGGCCACCAGACCCTGCAGCACCGCCTGGTACACATCGGTGTTGCCGTGCAGAAGAAATGCCTTGGCTACATCCACCCATGTGTCCTGGGAGGCCCTTTCCCGGTGCAGCAGGGAGATCACATCGCTGGGGGATGCAGAGGAGGGGATGGACAGACCCCCACCTCCGCGCAGGGCCAGCACAACCCCCATTTCCTCGTACTATCTCATGCTGGGCATCTACCCCCGTCTGATGGTGTAGCGGTAGATTAGGTCCCTTGCGCGAGCGATCGGCACTTCCACCTGCGCCATGCCATGCCCGCAAGCAGCAGCGACTTCGCGCGCGAAAGCCGGTGATGCCGGTGGAGAGACAGCGCCTCGCCATGCAGCCTCAGAATTAGACAGTGTGTTTATCAAGATTCGAGGCGGGTGCACACTTGTACATGATACCGTGAATATATTCATTACCAACTTCATTTGATTCATAAAGGAGTTCCTTGCTACGATGGGCATGCTGCTGGCCGGCAACCCTATCGCCTCGGGCCGGTGTTCGGTACCGCTTCGCACAGCCCCTTCACCCGTTCTGGGACACACAAGGGCAATTTTTACTCCTTTTGTTTGTAAGTATGCACGTGTGGTGTGTTCCATGCTTCGAAAGGGATGTTCTTGCGGTGAATTTCAGACTCATGCGCCCCCGCCCCGCCATGCCACTGTTACAGGTACCTCCGCGCCCAGGACTTTGCGCACCAGGAAACACCGCGCACGCCATGCTTTCGTTACGAAAGCTTCGGCCAGCGTGGCAGAAGGTGAGACCTAGGGGGGCGTTGTGGGAGGCCTGCCTGAAGCAGGTCATGTGTGCGGTGGTGCCCGCTCTGCATGGGGAGGTGTGCTGTGGTGGCAGCAGTTTCATCTGGAGCACTTCTTGCGGCCTCGTCAATCTCACACACCTCTTCCGCCCACGCACCTTCTCTGCGCCAGCCCCACCCCCGAGCTCCGCACCATCCGCCGAGCTGGGTCCCAGGGAGGGCATCAGGAACATCGCCATCATTGCCCACGTTGATCACGGTACGGCAGCGCTTGGAGGTGATGCACTTGCTAGGTGTCAAACACTTTGTGCAGCCATTACATTCAAAGTTTTGGGCGCGGCACGGTATGGGCCCGCGCCCCACTGCTCATCCAGTCACGAGCTCTGCTCACCCCTGTCCTTCCCCTCCTCTTATCTATTTCAGGCAAAACCACGCTGGTGGATGCTATGCTTAAGCAGGCCAAGGTCTTCCGCACCAACCAGGCGGTGGAGATCCGGATCATGGACAGCAATGACCTAGAGCGGGAACGTGGCATCACCATCCTCTCCAAGAACACCGCTGTCCGATACAAGGTCCGAGATTGTAGATGAGAATGGCTCCGTGTGTGGTGGGTGACTGAGGGAGTCTTTTGAATGGCTGGCAAGCAGACTGGCCTGGAAGGACTGGCCTAACAAGCCCTGCAAGGGACAGTCATGCTGTGGCCCCATGCACAATCTCATACCTCCACCCCCCC